GCTGGTAAATAGATTCTAAAGGGGTCTGACGATGGTGTATAACAGTCAGAATTACTGGGTTTTCAGAAACAGATCCAGTTTCCAAAACATTGGGTTTTCTAATTTCTAGAATATTGGATGATGGACAAAGTCCAAAAACCCAGTAAATCTGACAGTTGATAAAGTTTGTAGAAATTGTTTTTTGACCTTCGGTTCCAGTTTGATGACATTAACTACTGAACCACTGCAGTTAGACGTGTGAAATATGATGACAGAGGTAATGTGGAACTCTGAGACTATCTGACAAGATAATGTAATCAGTCTGTATTTAAGTAACTTTGTTCTTGACAAATTGTAATGATGATGACAACAGCAGGAGCAATAATAATAATGACTAACAATAACAACAACAATAATAATTCAATTCAGTTCTTTATTATTTATGTGCCAAGTTAACAGCCGCAAGGCCAATTACAGACTTAGCACAGTAATTACATTATAGACAAACACATTATAAAGTCAAAGATAGATTACAGGCAATCACTTGGGAAAACACAATAATTTAGAAAAGTAAAGAAACAAATGATAATATAGCAGTAATAATAATTTAATTAATGTAAATCTAAGTGTTATTAGAAGTGAGATATGAAACATATAAATATTTAATTAAGAAATGAAAAGTATAGATTTTCAGAGGGTGATAATAATAATTCAGTTTGTTTTATTGTACATGCAAATAATAATAATACTAACAATTATACCATATTTAAAAATCGTTTGGGGAAAACATTCCTGGCTCCGAATACGTCAGCATCCCTGCAGACAACATTAGCAGCTGCTGCTCATCAAGCAGAGGGACAATTTTTAGATGAGGAGCAAACACTGAACAATGCAAAATCTCTGATATACCGAGCAGGAACTCAGAGACCAACAATTTCCAGAACAGAAGGGCAGGATTTCGAGCCAAAATAAACGTCAATAAGAAAGAGAGCATCAAGGCGACGTCTCTTAGTACGTAAAGTCATATTTTAACTCCTCAAGAGCAAGAGAATAATTGTAATGAACTTGAGGAAAGAAATGATTAAAACAAAGGGCCGCAAACCTCTGCTGGATGCATTCCAGCTTGTTGGCATCAATCGATGTAATTGAATTCCAGACTACGGATGCATAATGATTAAGTTTATCAATGCTATAAATGTAATAATCAAAATGCAACAGGAATTGTTCATTTATGGAATGTGATCACTTGTATTCATGAGTTTATAAGGCAGAATACCATTTGGGGCTTTTCATTCATTTTTCATGCTTAATAATTAGCATTTTCTTTTGGACAGAACTGTGTCTGTATTCCCGTTGTTGTAAGTTGCAGTTCTCACAGGCAGCACACATTTTGGTGGAGGATATGGGAGTTCCCTAATGAAACCTGTCTAAAGCATATGAGAAGCATTATATCAGCTTCCACTTTGGGTGGTCTAAATCACTTTCATGCGTGTCTTACAGAAGTATTAGAAGTTACAATTTGTTGATGTGTAAGATGGACTCTGTATGCTTGCACCTTACCTCTCTTTTGCTAGTTTTTATCGAATAAAGTACAGCCAATGATGTCTCTTTCCTGAAACTCATCCTGTAAACTATGGCTCTCATATCTGCATACAGTTTCAACACGTGGCAGTTTTAATTAATTGACAGTGGGCTTTTCTAAAAACCCGGTAACTTGAAAAACTATTATCTTCTTAGATGTGAGGCCATGTAGACTGGTAGAATGTTACCACCACTTTGGAGGAACATGCAAAGTGATAAGACCCTGATGATGGAGGCCTCACGTTCATCAGAAATTTTGGTAACATTCTACCAGACTACATGGTGTCACATCCCAGAGGACAAATCTTCATGGTTACCGCCATGTGAATGTCAGATCTTAGCCGAAGACTTGTTCGCTTACAGAGTATGCATTGTAATTGCACATACAGGGAATACGCAGTCATGACCAGATAACTGTTGGTTTTGATTTGACATGGGAGTTAGGTGCAGGATAGTGTTGATACAATAGGCCAGAAGTGTCTGCAGTACAAGGGACTTAGTCCGACCCCACTAGCAATAATAATAGGTGTAGGATAGCAGCTCTTAGTTGAGAACTGAGAGTTGCGTGTTCTGCGTTTGTCAATACTTCTGAATTGCATGGTGACAGTGAGGAGGCTACAGCTGGTACTTGGAATGAAGAGTACAGCATTCTGAGTTGTAGTAAGCTATCCCTGTAACAGGCCGTGGAGGACCATAAGTGTGTTAGACGTCAAGACTCCCATACTTTCTCGACAATAAGCTCACAGATGGCAGTGAGGATGTCAGCCTTACACGCCGGCTGCCCTTTAACCCCCAAGAATATTCCTGGTACTCATTTCTGTTAGAGGATGAGTTGACCCCAGGGTCATAGTGTGAATGGAAGGATTCGGTCAATCTAAAAATCCAATTACATAACAGGGAATCAAACCCATGACCTTTCAGTTTGTAGCACATTAAGAGAGGGTGATAATATTACTTAAATGTAAAGATATGATTTACTGGCTTGAGGCTCACCACAACAAACTGAGAGAAACAATTTAATAGTCCTCAGGTTAAATTACAATATAGGTTCTCTAGGGTACAATGGCTTTGTACAGTAACCAAGGAGGAAACATCATAATGAACTTTAGTACAAAGTTCTGTGCAACATTTTATAACTGGAACATATGGAGACAATGCAGGAACTAAATACGAATGGTACAGGATTCTGTGGCTAGGGACAATTTCATCACCTCCTACCACCTAACCATAGGGCTGCTCTTTTGTCGTAGGGATAAAAAGCAGACACTTAGGCAAGGGGAAGATGGCCTTGACGATTTATCTCTTCTTATAGCAGTTAATAATTTTTGTGCTGATCTGAGTTCTATTTAAAATTTTTGACAAAAAGTACTCGTTACCTCACGTGTTTCACAACTATCATTGACAAAAACTTCAGTATCATCACCTATTCTCACAGAACGAACTGCCATTTTGGACTTGGACATCGATAAGCGTGATGATCGATGGATCGAATGTGATCAAACTCTTGGGCTCTTGGGATCGGGTTATAGTACGTAGCTATCGCAAAGTTAAGTTTTTGAGTTTCGCGGTTGATTGATCGGAAGTATGGAATTTGATTTGATGTAGTGAATAAGAGCTGACGTTTACTCTTTAAGTTAAATCGCCAGGTTACTGTTTATGAAATGAAGTTAGAAATTTATATGCAGTGAAAAATTCCTGTTAAGATGTTTCTGGAGGTTATTCATCTTTTGATGTAGCTTAAAGAAGGTGTGTGGGGTCTCGAAACTCGCCGTGTCCTGTGATTGTGTTATAATATATGTATTGTTTCTTGCAGGATAAATGAGAAAAAAGAAATTTTGCACTTCCCCAGGGTTTTTGTCATCCAGTAGGGAGACAGGTTTGAAACTCTTCAACTTTCCCCGGTATTCATCACAGTAAGTCTGGTTTAATACATGATGTAATGGCTTTATTGTGTGTTGCTTATCCAACGAAGAAATTAAGTTTAGCTGGTGTCTGTATTAAACGTATTAAACTTCACCCCCCCCCAACGTAGCACCAGCACCATGTTTGTAATACTTATAGATGAATTATTTGAAGGTTTTGAGACAATATGTAATACTCTTACAGGGCTATGATGTGGGCAGGAAGAATTGGGATATCCTGCACTATTGATTCTGCTAGAATGCTGCACTATAAATTTTTGTGCAGTAGAAAGTGATTTCACTACAGCTGAACAGATTTGCAGTTCCATGTAGCTCAGATTCTGGAGCACAATCACTCCCACAGCCTCCTGATCATTACACACCATTTCAGGTAAGCGCTCTATCCTTTTATGAATGCAGTGGCTAATAATGAGGACTAGTTTTCAAAGTTGTCCCCAGAACCCAGTTGTAATCAAACAAATGTCATTGTCATCATTTATTACTATTGAAATTGTATATCAGTATACAGGTCATGGATAATTAAAAAATGTTTGAAAAGCAGAACATCCATAATGTGTATATATTTACTGTCTTTTAGTGCATACAATTTCACTTGTCACTTCACACTACATGTTTTGGCATCGTTCTGCCATCCTCAGGTGTATAAACCATTGCACTGTCTTCCATCAAGTGTCCATTTATAAAATGATATAAAATGTGTGTTCGTCGTCGTTCAGTAATAACATTTGTATATTAAAACTTGTTAAGATCTATCATCTTACATGTTGTATATCAAACTCGTGTGTAATGCCATTCATCCGCTATGGGAGTCGTTCTTCTTATGTTTTAATTGTGTATATACCGTGTCTTATGATATGTCTTTCTTATGGGGCTTCATGCATTGTATTGCTGGACATATGGGTGTCCTTTGGAACGTATATGAGTGAAGTGATATTGAACCCCATTCAGAAAAAGAACGGAGTAAGAATCTCTGCAGCACAAGAGATATCATCATTATCATATCATTTATTATCATTCAACAGTCCATACATACAGGTATTACAACCATTTGGATTAGGAAATTGTCAGTTTATGCACTGTACCACCCTAATATAGGGGGTTTGTCATCTGCATAATATTATCTAGATCTAGTTACCATTAATTTCATTGTCTTTACACAAATACAACAAATTAATCAGCTGCATATTACATTTACACACTCGATGAATCAAAAGACATAAATTCATCTGCAGAATAATAGGAATGTTTCAGCAAAAAAGATTTTAATTCCTTTTTAAATGAGTTAAACTTTCCCCTTTGTTTTATTTGATTTGGGACCTTATTGTACGAACTAATTCCAATATTTATCACACTCCTCTTAAAAAGAGATGTATTAGAGTGCTGTACATGAAAATTTAATTTTCTTCGTTTGTTATAATTATGAATGGCTGAATTTATTGCCATTAAAGCCTTGTATTTTTTATTTATTTTATATACTTGCAATATATATGGTTGAAAAATTATTTATTGCTATTCGTGTGAACTGGTGGTTTGGGGTGGAAGAGGGTTTGAGGGAGAGAGGAGGACGCATAGGATGGTATAGTAGCATTCTATTTTATTGATCATGCTGTCGGTGTTGGTCGCCATTTATCATTTACTTACCGTACATATGCGTATAGATGGCAGGAGTAGTGCCCCGTGACCTCACCACGGCCTTTTCGCCAAACACTAACAAACAGTTTACGGGGCGATTGCTCGGAAATTTCCAGTGCAACACATAATAATTTTGTAGAAACACCAAAATTATTCAACTTATAAAATAATTTATACTCAACATCACACAGCTCTCGTATGCCGAGTGCCATTAAACTACAAGAACAAAAAAAGGATTAATTTTGAACTTTGATCAAAGGTAATGCAATATTTGTAAGATGGTATAACAGTATTTCTCTTTAATTTGAATTATAGGTAATTTTGCTCTGTTCCTTATCTTGCAAGATATAATTCACAAAATATATTTCTTTCTCAGCCTGATGAAACGCAACCATGAGGAGTTAATTATGGGCATGATCAAGAGAGGTCTGGTTCTGGATCACTGCAAATCACCATGTGAGGAGAACTTCGTACAAGACAAGAAAGTG